TTTATATGAAAATGTTAAACCAATCAAGGCTATTTGAGTCAATATTGATAACAATGAAATAGAATACATCACCGAGCATAATAATAGTTCAAAGTACAAGTTGATAGTGGGAAGTCAGGTGTACTGATAGTAGTAAGAATACTAAATTACGATACCAAAAGTCTTATCGACTTAGTATTGTTTGTTTGAATCTTCCCATCGATTTGTTAGGACTGCAACTGGTCAATCTCTAATTGGCATATGTGCATACTGTGCGTATTGCCTCAATATACCCATCGCACAAGCAAGTGGATATCAGGACTCAGTGGCCGAGTGGATAACGCGATAGCGTTTGAAGCGAGGGTACTGGGTTCGAGTCCCATAGTGAACATCAACTCTGAGATGCAGGTACATCCAGCTGACGAGTTCCAAATAGGACGAAACGCGCGTCCTGGATTCCACTGCTAGCCATTATCCATCTCTGCTAAAAGTCTTATCAGTTGTTAAACATTGGAAATAAGAGGTCAAACGTGGATAAATAGATTAGAATAGTCATCATAAAACATTAAAATCATTGCGTAATAAGAAGCATGTAAGTAGATAAAATACAACCGGAAAGAGGAGGAAATCACAAACAAATGATAACAAAACTAAAAATAAAATTTAAATAATGTCATTTGTTATGTCCGGCCATGGAAGGGATAGGGAGGTTACGAATTTATTCTATACACATAAATTGGAGTGAAATGTACGAATTTCTATGGTTTCCGCTTTATGAAGGAGACGGGAACGATTTTTTTTGGGAAATGATGGAGGTATTCGATAGATCAATCAAAATGATTTCGATTTATCTACATTATAACCACTATCAATTAGATGTGCCAAGATAGAACTGTGTACTGTTTTTATATGGCCATGCTGGTAGATGTTCACTCATTCGTTGGTTAAGTTGCCCAGTAGTACGTCCAATATAGCTATCTCCACAGGAGAAGCTGAACTTGTAAATGCACATAAAGGAGGCCAATTGAGGTAACTTTTCATTCATATGAGCAAACATCGCTGGTCGACTCGAGAAAGTCAACTCAAGATTCGCTGTGTAGAATGTCCTGCTAATTACTTTCGTTAACCTATCTTTCAGAGTATCACAAGCCATATTCCCGTTGAATCGTGGCTTCATTTACAAAGGTTTCTTTCGAACACTTGAAATTTCAGACTTCTTTCTTGTATCATAAATTTCTTTATATATTTCATGATTCTGTTGTGTCAGTATTTTTAATAAAAAAATTCACTTAGTGTTCACTTTTATTAAGGACTCAATATATATAATACTGAGATAACATTATATCTAATCTATCGGTTAAGTGCTCCAGCGCAAGACTGATAGGTCCTGGGTTTGAATTTCGTTAGGCGGGATCATGGATGCGCACTGTTGAGGAGTCCCAAAATAGGACGTATCGACCGCCCTGTACTTTCAGGTTTTCCATGGTGGTCTAGCTCCAATTGACTCATGATCTCAACTATATGAACTTACTACATTTAGTTTTGTAGTGATGATAAAAAATGTGCTATGAAATTAGTTTCATCTTCATTTATCTAGATATATATGAATGGTTATATGACAAATGAACTCAAATTGGTTATCATATTATAATGGCTTAGCTTTGTTAATCAATCACATGAATAACCGTTATTATATAAATCCAAACGGTATTTGAATTCAAAAGGCAATAAGATGTGACGACTACAGTTTATTAGTGGATAACACAGGTAACAAAGTTATAAGCAAATCGAGCGAATTTGGTGCAGAGAGGTTAATGTGTATGATTGTTGAAAGTGTGAGTCAATTGAAGCTAGACCACCATGGAAAACCTGGAAACACTGGACGGCCATTTCGTCCTATTATGGGACTCCTCAGCAGTGCGCATCCACGAACCTGCTCTCGCGAGCGAGATTCGAACCCAGGACCTACCAGTCTCGGGCCGAAGCCCTTAACCGATAGACCACTGAGCTGGCATCCAACGGTGTTAATGTCGAACTTCAACCCCTTCTATAATGTGTATGAGTCAGTCAATACATTGGCGAATTTATAATGAAATTGAATAAAGGCGTAACTAGTCAATGTAAAAACTTATAATAGGATTCGATCATATATTTACATGGGAAAGAGAATGAATCACTGAATGATATTTAATGATATTAACATTTAAGCTAGAGAGAGATATGTGAGTAGGTTGTTAAATGTGATGAATTATCCATGTTTATACAGATATGACAGTGATGATGACGGTAATGAATTGTTACCATGCGGACCCCATTGTTTGTTATATAAATTCATAAAAGGTCTCATTAAAATTAACCATAAACAAACTTATTTGTAGATGAGCTGTTATAACATCAATATTCTTCAATATCATGCTTATAACTCTTATCACATAATCACATTTCTTATTTACCAAGTCTATCAGATAACTTATATTAGATTACATAATAAATGATAACAGAATCTAGACATTATCAATACCTTCTATCTTATATTGAAATTATAATCATCATCAGCTGATGACCTATATGTTTGAATACAAAGCGTATCATATAAAGAAACACTTGAACAATGAGAGTAATAATTAGAAAAAAGCCCACAGTTTTCTTTATCAAGAAGAAGAATTAAAGTATTTCAATATCTAATTAATTAAATTGTATGTTTTTGTTTAAATTAGAGAAATAATTTTTAAGTTCTCAGTTGATATCTAGTTAACTAATGTTGATTTGAATTTGAACTAGTTATCGTTTAAGGAGAAAAGACTAAGTATTAAGAATCTTCAACTAATTCTGTCCCTGTCTTTCTTTTCGAGATATTACTATTCATTTTCTTAATGTCTGAGTTCAATTTCTGACGATATTTCTTATTTGGTTGATGACTCTTTGTTTTAACTTAATGATCCTAAATTAGAGTTTGCTTTGAGTTTTGGCCTAGTGATTTACGTACTGTGTTTTATTCATTTTCAGGGCCGCATAAATCTCATTTGACCTAAAAGTCTGATCCACAGTGCGGTAGAGCATAGTAAGAAGATGCAATCCCATGGTAGTCGGTGACCAACGATTGATTTATAAGCCATTTGTTTCCTCAGGATACTGGAACCAATGGGCATCATTGGTTTGGAATCAGGGTTTTCCAACTCCCCTAGGTAGACCCTGCGTGTCCACCAACCCGGTTAGAGCTCCGTAGATTCGCTTTCGCCCTCCCAATTTCGTAAACAACAGTAAAGCCACGAGAAGGCGGTGAGTAGGACATCCCTGTCAGAGGCTATATACGCGTGGCCATGTGACAGCACTTGGAGAGTGGACTCTCCTCACTCTCGGCCGTATCAGGGCATTGGGGGGCGATTTTTCAGCATCGTTTTCTGATTTCCTCCCCAATTGTCATCTGCTTTATTGTCTCTCATAGTAGTTGGTTACTGACAGTCTCCAGCTAATGAATCTGAAGCGTTTTGTGTATACATCTACACATAATTACTTTTATATTTTCGGTGATGGTTGTGGTATTTCACCAAATCTCAGCTTCATATACTAACTTTTTACATTACAAAGTTCAAATTTATGACTTTAATTTTGGTTATAAGTTATTTCCTAGCTCCAAATGTATTGTTAAAATGTATAAATGTAATTACTGACTCGTCAATAAGTGTCTGAACATATGGAACAGATATTCCTTAACGGAACTAGTAATAAGCATAAAACATATCCAGGAAGACTTCCAGTTTACCAGCGAAATCAATATGTTATTTAAAAGAATTTGTTTTAATTTCTTCTTAAATTTGTATAAAGACTATGTTCATTGATATTTTCATTTTTGATGGAATATTTATAAACGATGTTACTAATTGTATTGCACTATCATTTCTGAATAGTTCCAGGTTTTCCATGGTGGTGTAGCTTCAATTCACTCTGCCTCTGCCAGAGAAGTCCTACTCAGTCCCTTCTCGTAGCACGATGTTGTTCACGAAAGTGAGAGGACGAAAGGTGAATGTCCGGCGCTTTAACCGTGCTAGTGGACAAACAAAGTCCACCTAGGAGAATTGGAAAACCCTGATTCCAAACCAATGGTACACATAGGCTCCAGTATCCTGAAGGAACAAATGCTACATGAATCAATTGTTGGTCACCCACGACCATGGTATTGCATCTCCTTACAATGCTCCATTGCCTTGTGGGTTAGACATTTTGGTCAAAGGCTTGAGGTGTGGCCCCTTAAGGAAACCACCTGCTTCAGTCTGGACACCCGGGCGGTATCACAGCCCTCATACAAAGAAAATGATGATTGTGTGCGCGTATATATCTGGTGCCCCATTGTACCAATATGTATGCGTTTAAATGAATAAAATAAAAATAAAAAAATTCACTCATGATCTCAATTATATACAATTACTAAAATCTCTACACAACCCTTTCCCTTCTGATAATGCCAAATTACTTCAAATCAGTAAAACAAAGAAAAATAAAAGATCTTTATAAATTATCTGTAGTATGTCTTTTGTTCACTTCAAATTTTTACAATCATAGCATATACACATATATAAAAGAGAATTTCATTTGAAGACAAACAACAACGAAAATGTTTTTGTTTTTTTTTAAAAAAAAGAAGAGGACAAACATATAAGAGATTGAAACTGGATGAACAAAACAATACCTGAATCATATATATGGAAGCAATAACTATCGTTATAATAATAATAATTATTATTATTATTATTATAATCGTGTCAATAGAATAAAGACATTCATTCCGATGATACATTTCATAATAGTCAATGGGTTAATGAGTATCTTTTATCTCTGGGAGAAGATTGTTCATTATATATAACGATAATGGTATGTTATATCAAGGTGTAATAACTGAACAATCAATATTTTGACATAAATCAATAAATATTAGTAATATATTACCTTAATAAGCAAAATATAATCAGTAATATAATGCCAAGTAGTAATAGTAGTAGTAGTAGTCCAAGAGTTAACTATATTTAATTAATAGATGTATATGATGTATTCTTTTGTGATACATTACTACTACTACAACTACTAGTAGTAGTATTATTATTATTATGATTAATAAATTCTTTACATAGAAATATTTTGGTAAATAATTGACGAAAATATAACATCATTGTTATAAATACAAAGAAATTACATATTGAATCAATGACAATTAATGTATTACCAATAGTTTCTAATATACGACTTATATAATTATTAGGTAAAATTTTAATTGTTTGACATATAGATATAATAAAATTCATACATTCTAATAAACCAAATATAATAGCAACACATAATACTATTCGTGTTGCTTTCATTTGACCTTGTTGACGTTTTTTTAAAGCATCTTGTTGTATACAACATTGTTGTTGGCGTTGTTGTTGTTCTTGGAGTTGTTGTTGTTGTTGTGGTGGTGGTGGTTGTGATCCTTGTATATCAGGTATATCATCTAATGATTTTGTATTATCACAAAATAATATTAAATTTTTATCATGTTTCCATGGTTTCAATCGAAATAATATAAGTATAGTAAATATAGTTATAATAAACCATGGTATTACCGCTTGATATGGTAATACAATAAATGTCATATATTTTGAAAAATTTTCATAACTCCAAAAATATTCTTCTGACCATAAACTATATTTTTTATATTGTTGATCATAACATAATTGACCAATATAATCTGTATGTTTAAATGCAGAGATGATCATTGAAATCATAAAAAATATCATAAAGATCAATTTGAATCTACGCGGATTCCTTAAAATACGTTGACATAATTTTGAACCTAATGGCCATATTACAACTTCAGCACGTGCTATAGTTATTAAACATATACACCAATTTCTACACATTAAACCAATATCAGCAATAAACATAATAATATTTTGTATTACAGGTATAATCAATAATTTCATATCTGGTGGTATATGATTCTTTGGATCTAATGGGATTTGATAAATAAAATTTGGTGAAAAAATTTCAATTAATTTAAATAAAAATGTAAATAAATTAAAGATCACTTCAAAGATACTTAGAATGATAAGACTTGTTAAAAAGGAACTTCTTGATCTACTATGTAATTTTGATTTATTCTTTGATAATATTGATGATGTAGCTTTTGATTTTGGTTCATTCATTGAAGATAAATGATTAATAGTGAATTCACCAAATATAAATATAAATAATGTAATAGCATTCATTAAAAAAGCAATAAATGTTAAACATAATATAGGTAATTGTTGCCATTTCTCTGGTAATGACATTGGTTTATTATATTTATTTGGATTAATAATATCTTCACAATTACCAAGATAATATACATAATAATAAAATGTAAATGAAAATTGTAAATTAGTTTCATTTGTGTAAGACATAATTGCTGATGTTTATGACAAATACTCGAAGAACCCTGACAACAGTCATATTAATATTTAAAACTTGATTACAATATTTTATTCTGATTGGCTGTTTATATTTAAATGTTGATTGGCTGTTATGCGTTATATAGATAAATGGACCAATCAAATGCTGGCCACTTGAAAATGTTCTATTTTTTCATACTTTACACATGGTATAAAATGAAAGAACCAATGACAAGTCCCGAATAAAACGAAATTTGCGTCTGGGATACCACTGCTTTCCAGTTTCCATCTTTGCTTAGAATGCTTGTGAATTAGGGCAATACACACAGTATGCACATAGACCAATAAGAGATTGAACAATTGCAGTCGCAACACATCAATGTAAATATTCAAATAAAAAATATCAAGTGAATTTGAATCAATGGATTGTTTGTAATATATTTTTGGTTTGGTTTTTGAACAGCTGTAAGTTAGAACCACAATAACATGAACCACATTTATTTGAGAAAATTCACGTTTATTAATTCGTTATGGTTTACCAAATGAGGACTAACCTATAGATGATAGATAAAAATTGTAATGAGAGATTTCTATTCTTTCCGCTTAAATTTAAATGAATGTAGTTAGCATGCTTTAAGAGTAGAAAGGATAATTGATAGTAATATCGTAGTTCATATTCATATGTTCATAATTCTGGGACTTTCATATGAGCTTATTAAGTAATCGTTTAAACCTTACAATTGTCAAATTAATTCAACATAAAAAAACACTTTCATTGTTATTGCCTTCTCTGCGCTAAATGGTTTAACTGTTGAGATTTTATTGTCGTCTTCGACAATACCATAAATGTTTGCTTTATGAAGAAATGACCCCTTAACCAGTTTGATTTGGTGGCCTTGTTTGTGACTGGTTATCACCTTAGATCTCATTGTCTTCTTTTGTCTCTTTAATCGTGCTAATTGAATTCTTCCATTAGCAATTTAATCAGATGATGGCAGAGTGACTTGAATTCCATATATATTTGATAATATGAACTGCTCAACCCTAAACAAGTTATCTGAATATCTTGATACATTCATAGATGTGCCAACGATGATGCAGAGTATTAATCCTCTCTTTCACTTTACGATCTGTTACCCTGTATAATAAGCGTCGATATTCTGTAAAATGATGTGTGTAATATGTCTTAAGTTTATGGAGATTTGCTAACTGATATATCAATTTAACATTTTGAATCAGGAACATACATATGAAGTTTGCATCAAATAAATCGTTATTTCACCAGTTAGGCATAATTAGAAATGGTGACTGAATCTGCCAATGCTCAAATCAAATCAAGGTAAATGGATAGTAAAGAAAACAAAACAAGATTTTCGTAGAGAAAAGGCACATGTTCATTTGACTGGATTAACTTTTGATATGTGTATGTGTAATAGTCTTGATGTTGGAAATTATTGTTATTGCATGGTATTTTGCAACCATATGGTATGGCATGTTACATTCATTAATCAAACGTCTATAAATATTTCATGTTTGCTACACGTAAACTAATCAGTGTGGTAATAATAAACTGATCACATTAATACTAATAACAATAATTTCCTGTTTACACAAATTAATTTGTCAATCAAACCTACCTCAGACAATTAAGTTAATAATAATAATTGATCATTTTTCATAGTTTAAGATATGAACTGACGTTTTCTAGACCACCAGTATAAACCAAAAAGAACTGTATGGCCGTTTTCTCCTAGAATTTGACTCCTTATCTATGGGCATCAAAAACATCGTACTTGGAAGTTGAACCTATGGCCGACAAACTAGTAGCTCGCTTAGAGAGGATATCTCAGAAGTCATAGTGAAAGGCTGTGACCAATGGAGGTCGAACACGCTGTATACCGGCTATGGGGAATGGGCGATGGTTGCTCAGTATCGTGAGTTGATTGAAGGTACGCATACACACAAGTGGATACTGATATGACAAGAGGACAATTCAAAATTAGATTGATTTACTGATTATGATTTTTATTCAACATTAATTCAGTTTTAATTCAACGTTATAATCACTCATTGTAGTATTTGTTTTGTTTTCCTGTATGATATTTTATTCTGTAGAACCTATGATATTCTTGTACTCAATTGGCATGAATTATGTTTAGCATGTGATTTGTTGTGACCCTAAGTATTTTTCTTATATGTGATCCCATCCTAATCAATAATTAAAATGGGTGTACAAATCAATATATGAGTGCATTTTCGACTAGGTTCGTCGCCGTCGTGTTTGGGGCTAATAAATCTTCAATTGTACCTGTCTTCGCGTCGTGAGAATAGCGTTGGTTCCTCGTTTTACAAGTATAAGCAAAAAGTGATTGTGACATCATAATCAGCGGCGATCAAATATAACAAAGTATCGTTCAATCTCAATGACTGATCAGATACCCACTTACTGGCTTCAAGGCTAAGCATTCGCGTATGAAATGCGAGGTACTAGTTTCTGTTTCTGATAGTCGAGTCATGGGTGGGCACTTCTGAGGAATCCCGTTCGAAAACGTAACATCTGCCCAGTGATCGTTAGTTTTTGATGATGGTTTAAAAATTACTAATCCTTGATACAGAAACTACAATTTTTGATGTATGCATTACGAAAGCTCGAGATATCATAGTGTTTCACCGAATCAGTGGAGTTTCTCATCTGTCTATAATCTGAAGATTTCAACTGAATAAATGGCTCCGTATACGTCGATTATACGATAATTACTTGCGATGATATGGGTCATGCTTCATAACTATTTTTTAACTTCATGTTCACGATAGAATATAAAGGAGAAGAGCAATTTGTTTCACCATACAACATGAAGTATCCGTTATTTCATTCAAAGTTAGATCGATACCCTTCCGACGTCACCTGCAGTAACATCTATGAATTTATATGTACCTGCAGTAGCACATTTTTAGGGAGAAAAGAAAGAGCGGTTTCTATTAGGTTTTTAAAAGACGTTTCTAGGAACCCAGGTTTAAAAGTAAGTGAAGTCTTCACAAGGATATTTGTCAGACACCTTTCTAATAATGAACATGAAGTGAATGTAGGTAATGCATTCGAAATAATCAATAGACAAAATACACCAATCTTAGTCCATTTTGCTGATGCGATGTCTATTAAAAGTTTTCAACCTGACCTATGTTCATATAAGGTAAGTGTGATTTGTCTTTCTTTGCCATGATGATTGGATTTTCAACCTAAAAACCATTAATAATTTTGAATTTTTTTCAACGCCATCCCCATCCATTTCTTCTTTTTCTTTTCCATCTTCTGATATTCATCTCTTACACAATTTTGTGCTCAAAAATTTTTTTATTTTCTCATGTTGAGTGATAATGTAGTCACTTCTTTCATCTTGGTAATGATTACTGGTTAATAAAAAACCTGATCTACTCTGGATTACATGTAAATACATATCGATCTTGTGTATGTTTACTTATACACTTTATATTCTCTATTCTTCTGAATATTATGATTTTGGTTACGTTTCAAACATTTATCTAAACTTCACATACTAGATTATGCTGAACATTTGTTGATAATGAGTAATTTAAGGTTGTACGTAGCTGATGAAAAACCATGAAATAGAATGAATTCGCTTCTTAATGTCTTAAAAACCTTGAAAGATCCTTTATCTCAATGAAAAACTGTGAATCATTCATAGTATGAACCTTGAACTTCATTTGAAATTAAAGCATTTCAATATATTACTTGACATCTAGAGTAAGGGAAATGTATCGTACAAATACACTTAATATCATCTGAAATAGTACTTATACAGTAGTTTGTCTGAAGTAGACAAACTAGTGTTATTCATACTGTAATAAGAAGGTAATTCCAGTGATTTCCTAAATACTATATGCATAAGTTGGAAGTATTTATCTCTATTCTCATCTGAATGTATGAATGAATACGAAAAAACTATCTTCGTGAATAATAGAAAAGTATTATCACTTAATAAGCGAACAATCAGTGATTGGTATTTTCACAGAAAAATATACTTTTATCTATTATGCAACTGATTTTCTCAAATCTCAACCATATTCAATACATATAGCAGTTCAATGCTTAGTTTTTTTTCAGTAAAATGATCACAAGTGTTTAAAAGGACATTGCATAAATTCACTTAGTATTGTTTGATTGAATCTTCCCATTGATATGTTAGGATTGCAACTGGTCAGTTTCTAATTGGCCATATCTGCATACTGTGTGTAATGCCTCGATATAGCCTTAATTTACAAACATTGTAAGCAAAGATGGATAGTGGCTAGCAATGGATGCAGGTACATCCAGATGACGAGTCCCAAATAGGACTAAACGCACGTCCTGGATTCCACTGCTAGATTAATTAAGGTTTAAGCTGAATATCAAATACAGAAAAAGACAAACTTTTAATTCACTAATGAATTCTTCAAGCGTAACTGATTTTTTTTAAAAAAATTTGGTAAACATGACATCGAAAAATAGGAAACAAACGTAAAACAACTTTGAAGTTATATCATTGAAAATATGTTGTATGTAAATGGTAGGGGAAAGTTAGCAAGAAACTGATGGGATTTATCTTCAATTATGAATATAGGGAATGATGTCAGAACAAACTGAAAGCTCTCTAGTATTGATTAATTTTTAAAGGATGATCAATATTTTGAGTAAACATTATTGGGTAAATTTTAATATTTAATAAAATTCAATGTTTATTAGAAACTATTTTTACTTGGGTGGTATACTGTATGCTACTAATGTTGACAGATATAAGTAGTATATCACAATTGATTGATCACTGGGTGGTGATCAATCTCATGCGTGTCAGGTCCTTCTTAGTGCTGATCGAATGCTATCGATCGAGTTGCAATGTGACCACCAGTCTAGGTGGCTCGACACTGCTTGCACTATGTATATTGAGGTAAGATGGTGGTTGGAGGTGGTCAACAGGAAACCCTGGACCCGGGTTTCGTGCTACTTGGCACTCGTC